CTTCTTACTCTTTGAGAGATTCTGCTTTGGCCACTGATGTGTGACTTCTCATTGCTTTAAGTTACATTTTAAAAAGTAGAGCTTTGGAAGTTTTAAGAATTTGAACAACTGTGAAACCTTAAACAGTTGTGTCATTATTGATATTTCAAGGGATATTTTGGATAATAAATAATAAAACTTTGTATGAGTTGTTCTTTTTAAATAATCATGTATGAAATAAAATGGTGTAATCACTATGAAAAATAATCTAATGTTTCCTCAAAAAATTGAAAGCAAAATTATCATGTAATCCAGAAAGTTTACTTCTGGGTATAAATATAAGACAAATGAAAGCAGGGCCTAAAGAGATAGTTGTTCAAACATATTCATAACAACATGATTCCCAAGAGCCAATAGGGGGAAGCAACTGAAATAAGCTGGGCATAAAATAAAGACATAGAGAAATTACTACGATCTGTAACTCTCCTCCTATCCTTGACCTCTGGCCTATTCTCGCTCTTCTCTAGGCCTAGTCACTGCCCAGGACTTACTGTGTAACCTCCACAAATACTACATATAAAAATCCACACTTCGCCTGTAAGTATTAAATAATACATACTGTCCTTCACCTTGTCTTTTACATTTGACAACTACTTTAAAACCAACATTTCTGGTTTTTATATATTTTTTTCCCCCAAACAATAAGCTATTGACTCTAGATACACCTTGTAAAATTAGTATGTGTATTATACTTCTAGGAAAACATTAGTAATGGAAAGGCACAGCACAAAAGCTAAAAGATAAATTGAAATGTAATACTAGAAATATTCAAATAATGTGAAAGAAGGCAGGAACTGGGAAACAGGAACTGGGGCAGGGAGAGACAAATAACTATAAAATGATAGACCAAAATCATGCCAGTTGGATTACACTGAAATCCATCAGATTGGCTGGGGAGGTAGCTCAGCAGTCTAAGTACCTGCCTGGAAAGTGCAAGGACCCAAGTTCAAGCCCTGGTACCACATGCTGTGCTGGTCCCAGAACCCTGGGTGTGCCGTGCTGGCCCTGAAACCGGGTGTGGTGGTGCATGCCTGTAATCCCAGTGCTGGGGAGGCTGAAACAGGAGGGTCTCTATGATCTGAGCTGCATAGAAGACTCTGTACCAATTAATTAATTAAAAAAATTTAAAAAAGTACATTAAATGTAAATGCTTTAAACTCACCAGTTAAAAGTTAGAGACTGCTAACCAGAAGAGCAAAATAAAAAAGTTCCAGCTACATATTATCTATGACAGATACACTTGATATAAACATACATGTGTATGCTAAAAATGATTCATTAAAAATATACCATCTAAACAATAATCAAAAGGCAATGGAAGTGAAATAAAATGGTAAAATCACTATGAAAAACAGCCTAATAGTTCCTAAAAACTTTTTAAAAAATAAGATTATCATGTAATCCAGCAATCCTGCTTCTGGGTGTAAATATAAAACAACCAAAAGCAGGATCTAAAGAGATGGTTATGCAAGCACATTCGTAACAACATGATTCCCAAGGGCCCAAGGCGGGAAGCGACTCGAATCCTACGGACAAATAGGTGGATAAAAATGCATTAATATATCACTGAGCCTTAAGCAGGACTGAAATTTTGATACATGCTGCAGTACAGGTGGACACTGGGGATCTTATGCTAAGGGAAATCAGCCAACCAGTGAAAGAAAATCGTGAGCAATCACATGTATGCAAGATGTTGAAACCATGCTTTATGCTGGAGTGTATTCCAGAAAAGTAGTCTGACAGGTACAGGAGCAAAAAGTAGGGTGGTGACGATGGAGCTCTGGGGGAGGAGGAGATGGACACATCGTCGTTTAATGGGAAATGAAGTTTCAGTTTTGCAAGATGCAAAAGATCAAGATTCGTTGCGTCGTAGTGTGAATAGAGGGCTGCTCTCTTAGTTCTAGTGATCACCTAAAACTGACTAGGATGGCAGATTTTGTGTCACACCGTATTATCACAATTGGATAAAAAAGTAACTGAAATGGTTAAGTCAATATCAGACCAGGGAGACTTCGGAACCAAGAAAGCTGCCCCCGAGAAGCGGGACTTACAGAACGGTGATGGGGTCAACTCGTCAGAAGACACAGCTATGCTCAGATGCAGGCAGGTAAGAATAGAGCTCTGAAATAAATGGAGCAAAACTGGACACCACTGGAGGGTGAGGAAGGAAGCCCGTGCTTACGCTTGGAGACTTCCCGTTTTTCCTCCTGATTGATACAACTAGATATACAATCAGCCAGAGCTCAGAGGACCTAAACGCTCCTGGCTGCCTGCCGCCTTGACCTAATGTACGTTTTTTTTTTTTTTTTTTTTTTTGTTTTTTACATTTTAGGGAAGGGTCTACAGGGTGTTTTTTTTTTTTTTGTGGAACCAGGGATTGAACTCAGATCCTTGCGTTTGCCAGTCAAGCGCTTATCCTACTGAGCCATCTCCCTGGCCCCTAATGTACGTTGTAAGGGTGCTGTGTGCAAACATTGTGTTGTCTCACTAGTGGGAGAGGAGAAGGAACAGGTAAGTGAGAGTTGAAATATACAATAGATACTGTGAACTGGGAAGAAACTGTTCAAAAGCAAAACCCACGGTGATGGGGGAAGGGGGAGAGGAAGACTATAATATGCAATGTATCCACTATTGTAGCTGTCCTTCTAATCTATTTTGAAATTTTTGGGACCGGTGAGATAGCTCAGTGGACTAAAGCACCGCTTAGGCAAGCTTAGGCAAGTGCAGGGACCACAGTTCGATCCCAACACCACATGCCCACAGCAGCCTGGCCTCCCAGGGTGGGCTGAGCCGGCCAGAGTCCGGGCATAGTGGTGTACTCCTGTAATCCCAGTGCTGGGGAGGCTGAAAACAGGAGGATCACTAAGAGTCTGAGTTGCATAGTGAGACCCTGCAACAACCAAATATATTTAAAAAAGAAAAGAAATGTGGTTTCGTTAAGTCCATCTTTTTCTCCTTAAAATAATAATGAAAAAGAAAACTATAAAGCAGAATACAGGTTCTTTCTCAAAAGTGACATTCTTAGTATCCTCTCAGCCTTCCCTTGTTTTCTAGCTCTTCCTTCACAGAATTATTTTTCTCCTTTACTTTTCCCTCCCTCTGTCCATCTGCCCAGTTCCTATTTTCTTTTTCCTTTCCCTCCATTCCTATTCTCTTTCCTTTCTCCTACCCTTTGGTGGGCATATAGTTTACTAACATCACAACTTAGATGCTTGCTGTTTTAAATTTAAAAGTAAATGAATCCAATTCTTTATTCCTGAATAAAAAATAAACAGCTGTACTATTAAGTTGCTTTTTGCACACATTGTCTAGGTGATTTCTTCCCTAAACAGTGTTCCTGGGTATCTTCTATAACTTACTTAGGAAATTCCCAGCAGGGCCACTGGGGACAGCAGTTGCTGAGGAATGAAGGCTTTCTGTAGGGGATGAATGCAGACTGGGCTAGAGTGTGGACTGATGCAACGCGGACCGGGGAAACTGCCCTTTTAGATGCCCCTGTCACCTGCAATAGCTCTCGCTCTGCACATTGACTATGGTGGTGTATCTTTCCCTTAATCTACTGCCTGGGTTCCTTGGGACTGCCATAACAAAACCATACACTCAGGGCTTTTACTCAACAATTTTTTTCCTCACCACTCTGGAGGCTGAGGAGTCCACGGTCAAGGTTCCCACCGATGTGTTTGTTGAGGTCCTCTTCCGGGTCATCCACGGCGACTTCTTGCTGTGATTGCATACAGCCAAAGGAGCAGAGGGTCACTCCTAGACCTCGCGTAGGAGAGTGCAAATTAACTCAGTCGCCCCCAAAGGCCTCACTCCCTAATATCTTGGCTGTTAGAATTTTGAGGGATATAAACATTCAGGCTGTAGCACCGGTTGGACTAGGGCAGTTTCCCATCATGCGCACTGATCTCTCTCCAGGCCCCCTGAGCCCTTAGAGCCAGGAGTTACCCTGCCTCTAAAGGAGTTACCCCTGCTGCTACCCTCTCCGCCTTCACCTGTCGAGCTGTACCCCCACCAGGAGCTGGTTAGTTTGCCCCAAATCTGTTTAGGTTAATCCTACTCACGGCAGCCTTCCTAAGATCTCAGTGAGTGTGACGCAGATCTGAGAAATACCAGAGGGAGAGGAGCGCTGTTCCTGTCTAGGCTGAGCGGAACGCTTCAGAAAGACACCCAGGAAAGAGCAGGCTGATGTCCCTGAGTGCTATTTTCTCATCCTCTGAGCGTATCTGCTCCAGACTGAATTAAAGGGCACATAGCGTGGTGACCCTGTCTTTGTGCCTCATCTTCCAGCCCAACGCTTGGAGCGCAGGAGGGACTGCTGACTCTATTTTGGGGGAAAAAAAATGTAGAACTAAATGTTGTGGTTTCAAAAATGGAAAGAAATGCTCCCTTAATGTGAGTCATGAAAACAAACTGCTGGAAAATTAGATGTGGGTGAAACAACTGGAAACGATTAGGAAACAACCTAGGATTCTGCATTTGAATGGTTGTAGCAAATGCCCTTAAATTCTCCCTCCGATTTAAAGGAAAAGAAACCGGCGAGTCATTGTGGAGACACTGGGGATGTTGCTTGTGTGGGCTAGCAGCCCCACATTCAAAAGGAAAAAAAAAAAAAGGCACGCTCAAATTAGATGCCTTGGAAGGGGTTTAATGAAAGAGGAGGACTGTTAGGGTAACTCGACACTGCAGTGGCCCAGAGCCAAACTGTGGGCTGAGGGACACTGCAAGGAGCTGGGGACAGCATCCCTGATCTCTGGCTTTTGTCTCCCGCAGTCTCCAGCCAGAGTCGTGCACTGGCCAAGCTCCTCCTCCCATCCACAGGGATGAGACCTGGGGCAGAGGTCAGAGGGAAGATGGGGGAGGGCAACCGAGGGGCAGATGGAAGACGTCCAGCCAGCTGTCACCTCCCGAGATCCTCTTCCTTGCCATCTTCCACCCTCCGACAAATATGAGTCCAAGTCCCAGCAGCCTGGAGGGCTCCTGCTAGGCTGTGGGGACTGAAAGGCAGGTGCTGGTTTGGGCATCTCTCGGAGCCTGGAGAGAGCTGGCTTGGCACTTGGGAAAAGCTTTCTCATGGCTGGAATGACTGCTGGTGACAATGTGGGAGCTACTGTTTGCCAAAACACCAGGGATGGCTGTGCTTATTCATTCATTTAACAAATACAGAGAGTCTACTATGTGCCAGATGCGTTGCCCTAAGCTAAGAGGGTACAGTGGTAATCAATAAGGCTGTGGTCTAAAAGTGACGAGGCCATCAACCAATTCTCTTCACCCAACAAACATCTGTAGAGCAACAAGGATGGGCCAGGCACTGCCCTAGGTGTTGGAGGTTCAATGATGAAAAAGATGGAGCTCCTCTGTGTGTGTGTGTGTGTGTGTGTGTGTGTGTGTGTGTGTGTTACCAGGGATCGAATTCGGGGCCTTTACACTAAGCTACATTCAGCCCTTTGCATTTTTTTCTTTTTTACTTTGAGTTGGCGTCTTGCTAAGTTGTTTTGTTTCCCTGGCTGGGTTTGAACTTGTAATCCTCCTACTCA